TAACATGAGTCTCTACAAATGTCCAGTTTTAGGGTTTTACACAGAATTAAACCAAACAACATGAATCAAACATGCACTTTATTTATTTCCACTAAACAACAAAAGTACATCAAAATGATTGAAGCTAAGGGCATACAAAACTGTCTAACAAGAATTACTTTGATAAAATCTACATTGGCAAATCTTTCCATTTATTTCCTTTCAACCTTTTGCATCCCAACTAGGATAGCAGGGAAATTGGAGAAGTGCATGAGGGACTTTCTGTGGGAACCAAGAAAGGAAAAAAAAAAGGACCATCTAGTAAATTGGGAACAGGTTAGCAAACCCAAAGAAGAAGGGGCCTAGGGTTAGGGAATATTGCTTTTAGAAACATTGGCCTACTTGGTAAATGGTTATGGAGATTTCCCTTTGAGAGAAAAAGGCTATGACACAAGGTAATAGTAAGCATTCATGGGCTAGAAGGTAATGGCTGGGATACAAAAGTTTCTCCCCATACTTGCTCAACTTCTTTATGGAAAGCAATTCATGATGTTTATCCAATCTCTCAATTTCATTAGGTATGATGTGGGAAGGGGTGATAAAGTACAATTCTAGAATAGGAATACCTTCTCCAAATGGTTTAAATTGGAACCTCGGGTTTAGAAGAGGGTTATGGGAATTTGAATGTTCTTCTTTGATGCACTTACCTGATACCTTAAGGCAGGTCTNAGAGGGTTATGGGAATTTGAATGTTCTTCTTTGATGCACTTACCTGATACCTTAAGGCAGGTCTCGCTGGATACATCTCTTGAAGACTCCAAAATTTGTAGATATCTCTAGATGGCCTCTTTACTCGCTCCTCCTTTAAGTCCCTTGCCTCCTCAAACCATCAAGGGGTGAACTTCCCAATGAAGGAAATTTGGAGTAAGCCTATCCCACTTGAAATTCAAGATTTCTGATAGGAAAGTTTTCTTGGTAAGGTAAACACTTGTGATATGTTGTAGAAAAGAAGGCCTTCCGTATGCCTTTCTCCTCACATATGCTTCTTACATAGGGATAGTGGTGAGAACCTATCCCATTACTAATCTCCTGTTCCTTTGTGCTTAAAATTTGTGAGGTTTTTCGTTCTCTCTTTGGGTGCAGGTGGACCCCCCTCAAGATGTGGTGGTCTGTTCAATCCGAACTTCTTGAGGCAACCAAAGAAAAGAGGGAAAGTGCTTTGGAGGGCCACTAAAGCAACAATTTTCTGGGTGGTGTGGGAAGAGAGGAATAGTAGAATCTTCTTGGAGATGAGCAGGACCTTGGAGGAAGTGATAAACAACATAAAAATAAAGGTAACCTTTTGGGTGAAGACCTTAGACATCTTCAAAACCTTCTCAGTAACTGACTTCTCAAGGGCCTGGACTGAAAGAGCATAATCATCAAGAGTAAAAGATAGAGTTTCTATGGAGTGGAAACCCCCAGAGGGTAATAAAGTAAAACTAAATTCTGGTGGGAGTTCCCTTGGAATCCCGAGTATGGCTGGAATAGGAGGAGTCATCAGAAACTTAGAGAGTAGGATTGTGGTGATGTTTACAGGGCCAATTGGTTTAGGAAACTCTTTGAAGGCTGAACTGTTGGCTCTCTTGCAAGGTCTCAGACTAGCTAGATAGCTGGGGTTTAGAATGATTGAGGTGGAAGGAGACTCACAAGCGGTCATCTCATGGGAAAAATCTAACAGGTGTTTCCCTTGGACCCCTTTTTTTGATGAATAACAAAAGACTTTCATTAAAAATTAGAGAAAAGAGTACAAAGTAGAAGGGGAGAGGTAAACCTTGTTAACCCTCAACTACGGAAAAACACCAAACAGATTACAACATTGCCCAAAACATTTGTTCCCTTCCCACCCCTTCCTTAGCAAGAGTATCCACAAAGGAGTTGGCACTTCTCTTTACCCACTTTAACTGAATTCCCAAATCTTGTGCTAACTGATTAAACAGTCTTTTTTCATTAGCTAACTTCCAAAGCAAGAGCATCCCTTGGACCCTTCAAAACATGCTAAGAAAAGTGGAAAAGATAGCAAGAGAATTAGAGGTTGAATTCAAATGGATTAGGAGTAGTGCAAATGGGTTAGTTGACTCCTTAGAAAACAAGGGTTTATGAGGCAACAACTGTTTCGGGCCTCCTTGTGACTTGGGTTATGAAGGGATTGACACTATGATCAATCAAGTTGTATTAATCACTCTTACTTTCCAATTTAATTTAATAAAATAAATTTACTTTTGCTGATAAAAAAAAATCAACAGTAAAACCTTAAAAAAAGTACAAGTGATATATATAGTATATAATAGAATGCAAGGTTCAAAATTTTGCAATGTATCAGATCGTATTGGCCGATATGTATCGTTCCGACACAAGTCCGATATAGTGCGATACAATTAAGTCCCCTTCTCTCTCATTAATTTCATTAAACTATATTTATCTGAATTGGCTCTCATTAATTTCGTATCTACTCCTATTTTTAAGTATAATTTCTCTCTTTCTCTCTCATTAATTAGTTAATTACTCCTACAATTAATGCATAATTTTAAATTTGAATTTCAATTTTAGTGCCTAACTGGAATTCTCTCTCATTATTTATGTTAATTAATAATCCTCTCTCTCATTAAATTTGTTTTGTTAGTATAAAACTACAAAGCTTAGCAATAGCAAGATTCGAACCTTGGGTATTAGGTTTTAACGACCAGAGGTTCACCACTAAGCCATGCTTATTTGCTTGCTATAGGTTTATGCATTTTTGTTTTTAAATAAGTTTTCTCTTTTTCTTAGTGTATGCTTCTCAATAAATGTTAGAATTAATTATTAAAATTTATATATTAATAAATATTAAGATAAATTATATTGATTATTTTAAAACTAATGTATATCTATATACATTTTAGATATTCCATCATTTGTCAATAGTTCCCAAGTGTGTCTCGATATCTCGAATTTTATATAAACCATTAAATTATAGTTTTTTTTTTTACTTCTAAACAACTTATTTACAATCATATAAAACTTGTAACTATTTTTATTAATATATATTTTTAGGATTTATTCGAGTTTTTTAGCATATTTATGTGTATCTTGATTTTTCGTCTGTATCCATGTGTATCCAAAATGTATCCCGATCTGTCTCTTAAAATTGTCTTTTTGGTACACCTTGCGTTTTCAATACTTTAAACCTTGATAGAATGTACGAACACACAGTAATGAGATGCAATCATAGTAATGTTGTTATAGTAAAGTGCCTGCCTTGTGACTTTTGTTGCCTAGGTGGGTGCCTTGTTTCTATAAGTCAAGGTTACGGGTGAGGCACTCAACAAAGGGTGCCTAGTCACCTAGGTGATACCTTGAATGTGATCATTTCATAAACACTGCATCTAGCAACTATAGATACTTGTCATGTAAGCAAGAGGTCATTCAAAAGGAAAAAGGTGTAATATTCTTAAAAATTGTCATGTGTAATGTTTACATAAACAATCTTCTTGCTTGCTTCTTTCTTTCTGTGCGTATATGTAGTGTGTAGGCACTAACTGATGGATCCAATTCTACTTGATAGGGAAATGACCTTCATAACCAAGGCAAATTCCATGATGCTGCACAGAAGTATTTATTTGTTAGTATGGAACTAAATTTTTCTCCCTTTTCTTGATCAAAATACTAGTTATGTTCTTTTTTTATTTAAAATATTTGTTTGTAATTTCTTTGGGTAGTCCTGGCAATGATGTTTTCACAACTTTCTTCTTGCATGTTTAGGCAAAGAAAGACCTAAAGGATATACCATTATCTCAAAGTGTAACACTCCAGTTGACATGTTCTCTTAATTTGATGTCATGTTATTTGAAAACAGGGCAATATGATGAGTGCATAAAGGAAGGATCTGAGGTATGGATAAACTACTGTTCATTTTTTCTTCTGAGTTTTGTGTTATAATGAGTTGGTGCAACACTTACGAGTTAAGACTCACCTAAGGCACAAATTAAAAGCACTCATGAAAATGATAACCTGAGATAGTAAGATGAGTAAATTATCACAGTTGGTGAACTTTTAGTTTGGAGAGAAGGGTGAGCAAACTAAAAGTTCCTTCCTTTTCCTTCTATTCCTATTTCCTTTCAGTTTATGTGCCTTATACAAGTTATTTACCAGGAAAAATTAGCTTCCTCCAATTATCCTTTGGTCTACTTTTTCCTAATAAATGACTTGTCTGGCATTTTAGGTCTTGGTCTATGATGGTGAGAATGTCAAAGCTCTTTATCGGCGAGGTCAAGCATATAAAGAACTGGGGTTGTTAGACGTGAGTTTATGTTCTTCAATAGATCATCTCCATGCTTCAGATCAGCAAATAACGCCCCAACCCCAATTGATTTTTCTAGTTAACGATGCTGTTAACTCCATAGAATTGGTTGCATCTGTGAAGGATGTTATATTTGATGTCAATATTTGCTTCTGTTATCTGATGGCATTTTTGAAACATATTAGGATGCAGTCTCTGATTTCAGTAAGGCTCATGAAGTTTCTCCTGATGATGAAACTATTTCAGAGGTTCTAAGGTATATACACATATATAAATAGGAATCCTTGGATATTTAGTTGGATGAAACTGAGTGATATACTGCATTTTATTTCATGCATTTGCTGTATGTTGATGTCAATCTGAGTTAGGGGCATCTGGATTCCGTTTCCATGTTCTACATGATCATAAATGTTGCCATTTGGTTCAGGGAGATGAATGAAAGATTGAAAAAAGGAGGTGGAAACCTACAATCATCAAAAAGTATGCTTTTCTTTTTTCCTTAATCAAGTCAATTAGTCCTACATTTCTTTGGCTGTTCACATTATGAGAAGGCTTTCTGCTTCATTTGTCATGCAGGACTAGTAATTGAGGAAATAACTGAAAAAATTCAAACTGTGCCTCTTGAAACACTTAAAAGTTCATCAACAGAATATTCTGTGAGACGACCACAAGAAACTACTGAACTCTTTGGGACTTGTAGTAAGTTCAGCTTTGGCAGCTTAGCTACTGAAGCAGAGTGTTTGCAGAGTTTTAAAGACAACCCAGAAGCTATCAGGTTATTTTCTGTCCATGAAGCATATCTTATTCATTCTTGATGTAACTGTAATCTTAGTTGTGAATTTGTTTATTGGGGGTATGTGGTTTTAGCCATTCTTTTCCTTCATGGATAAATGTCTTTACATTCATTTAGTGTAACTTGACATGGTTATATTTTGTTTCTATCTTCATGTGCATTACATCAATACAAAGCAATGGATGTTGACATCCTTTCTTTGTATTTGTTTTAGATTTTTCTTGCTATAAATTATTTTTTATGGGTTAATGCTTTTATTTCCATTTTTTAGTGTCAGAAGATCAACTAGTGTTTTAAAAATGCATGGGAGGCATATGCCTGGAGGGTGCCCCCAAAATGCCCTGAGGTGCATGCCAGAAGCATTTATGCTTCTGAAGCATACTCCATAGGTGTGCATGAGATGTACCAGAGGTGTACACCTCATGCACACCTCATACAAAAAGGAGTTAAGATAAGAAGAAAAGAATGAAAGGAAAAAGGCAGGACCCTCTGCAATTGGAATAATTCAGGATGGGGCAGGGGAGACATATGTGGATTGTTTTTGGGGCCAATTGGACAAGGTGATTCATTTACGGGCAGAGTTAATGGTGCCGTTTTTAGGGTACAAAAAGCCAGGGAAATGGGAATCACAAGGTTGATTGTGGAAGGGGATTCGGAAATAATAATTGGGTGTCTGAAGGAAGGAGGGGGTGATTTGGCAATATAAGAATGATCTCAGGCAGTTCAAGATGTTGTCAAGAGTTATGAACATTCAAGTTAGATGGCTAAGAAGGTCCACCAATGGATTGGCTGATCGACTAGCTAAGCAAGGAGTGCATAGAAATCACTTGTATTAGGCTCAATTATAATGGCATGGTGGGGTTCTTTTGATGTAAAGGGTGTTCCATTTAACAACTTCTTGTCATAACCTTTTTCTTAATTAGTTCTAATAAAATTTTCTTTGTTGCTGATCAGAAAAAAAAGGAAAATAAAACATCTTTCATAAAAAAAAGGAGGCTTACACCTCCTTGTGCTTGGGAAGCATATGCCTCTTATGTTCTGAACTATGCTTCACGCCTCCAAGTAGTGGAATGCCTTTTGTCACACCTCTGTGTTTTAAAACATTGAGCTTAACTAAACTCAACAATGCCTTGCCCCAACTATATGGTTTTGGTGCTATTGAAGGCTATAGTGTTTTTTAGGCAAGGCAATAATCTTACATAATAATATAATAACATAATTTGGATTTTGTTGGTTTTCAAGACTGCTATTCAGTCTTGATCACTAAGAGATTTTAGGTTCGATGAGAAGAGAAAGTGAAGAAGATGTAGAAGAAAGAGTGATGGAAGAGCAATAGAACACAGATTTTGAGGAGAAGAACACAATGTCAATATTCTGCC